GATTCTGTGTCTCCCTCTCTCTGACCCTCCCCTGTTCATGCTCTGTCTCTCCCTGTCTCAAAAATAAATAAAACGTTAAAAAAAATTTTTTTTTAATAAAAAATAAAAAAAATAAACAAGACCTTATGTCAGCTTAACCACAGTAGTAGGTCTTCACAGTTTCCTCTACTATAACACACTCCTGAGCATGCTACAGATCCTTCATAAACAGCACAGAATAACTGAATTCTTTGAGAAAAGGACACTTATACTGTCATGTCAGAGCTTACAGCAAGGCGGAAGCCTGCATTTGGAATCCATGAGCTTCCGGATTGATTACCGAAATACCAGAATTTTTTCAGGGTAATCCCTTTTTGATAGGAGAGTTTCTACTTCCAGAGGAAATTCATCTGGGGACTCAGTCCTTGTCTGGAGTTTATTTGCTTTAGGAAGCTCAGGACACAGGTGTGCCTAGAAACAATGTGTTCACCTGGTGGATGTAAATATGGCTTTCTGTTGACTGATATGCTTTTTTATTACCTGATTATAATTTTTCGGTCTGACAGCCACCATCCCTTCTACCTCTGTGTTTTCCTCAGGATGGGAGAAAGGATTCCTAGAAAGAAGATCTTGGGGAAAGGAAAGGATACTTCAGAATACAGAATTGACCCTAGTTCCCAGAATCACCCACCTGAAAATCATTCCATCCTAATTTAAGATCCCCATATATCCCTGCATGAGAAATCTCACAGAAACACACACTACTGCCATAAAATACAATAGCCCTGCCTCACCTGGAGCCAGAAAAGGGACTTGCTAGACATGCTACCCATGAAGAAAGAGGTCATGGTCTTATTTTACAGGTATGGAAACTTAACCCCTAAAACATTTGGTTATTTGCCCAAAATAATAAAACTCATCAATGAGATTATGTACCACCAATTCCCAACACACACACGAGGAAGCTGACTTAGATAATAGCATTCTCTGGCATATTTCAGCTCTTTCTAAAAGAACAGCAGTGACTAATTTAGGACCAGGTTGTTGGACTCCAGGTTGTGTGGGGATGACCTTTAGAATTCTCTGGAAATGAGAATCAATAATGACTTACCATGGGTCAAGTCAATGGTTGCCATCCTGGGAGAGTGACGGTGAAGTCTACCTACTGGGAAATTTGATCACTTCAGTACAATTTATGAATCTAGGTGAATATGACAATCTTCATTATTCTTGACATTGGGATACCCACAGTCCTTTTCATACCAATCATTAATCAGCAAGCATTGCCAATCCATCATCAAACATCACACATTGGCTGTCTCTCTGAAGGTGGTATGTGGGAAATTACTGAAAATGGTATAATCTATGGCATGAAAGTCACTAATATCAATTACCATTCACTGCAAATCAGTATGTAACAGATATCTGTCTCACTAATTTTATGTATACCAGCTCACTTAATTAGCATAACAACCCATTTCAATAGATATCACTAGCTCTACTTAATAGCTGATAAAGCTAGATTCATAGAACACTAATCATTGGTCCACCACCCTCCAATTAGGAAAATGAAATCCAGAATTGAATGCAGATAGGCTTGTCTCAAATGTGTGATCTGAGGTTCTTATTCGCAAATATGATCAGTTGTCAATCTAGACCTGCACTGTCCAGTTTAGTAGCCACCAGTCGCATACTCTATTGAGTACCTGATATGCAGTTAGTAAAACAGGATTTTAAATTTTGTTTAGGTAAACTTAAATACATCTACATTCTCAACTGTATTTATTACATGCACATACGAAGTACATGTCATGAAAATTTTATGTCCAGCGAATTTTGAAATCTTACTATGACTTAAAGAATTTAAGATACTTCCATTTTAGCGGTGCCTGAGTGGCTCAGTCAGTTCAGTGTCCAACTTCAGCTCAGGTCACGATCTCACTACTTGTGGGTTCGAGCCCTGCAGCAGGCTCTGTGCCAACAGCTCAGAGCCTGGAGTCTGCTTCAGATTCTGTGTCTCCCTCTTTGCCCCTCCCCTGCTGGTGCTGTCTGTCTCTCAAAAATGAATAAACATTAAAAAAAAAAAAAAATTGAAGAAAATTTAAAAAATAAAAAAAAAACTTCAATTCTTATATGGGTTACATGCTGAAATATTTGGAATAGATGGGATAAAGTACATTATTACGTATGATCTCTTTTTGTTTATTTCATGTACAGAAAAGCTTTAATCATATACATGGCCTGCAGGTCATATGTCCATTGGCTAGCATTAGCCTAGAATACTGCTGGACATTATATAGAAGAGAAAAATGAAGTGTTTTATTTAGTTAATACCTTGAGCTTTGGTTGATGGAGCTTACAGTGGCTTGGAGCCCTGAACCTCCTTTTTTAAGTTATCATAATAGGTTTATTCTTTTATTCTTTCCACAAACAATTAAGATAATTGTGGTCCTGTGCTAGGCACTAAGTAGAAAACAGTGAAATATACAAAAAATGTCCCAGGATTTAATGACCCAACATTCCTAAGGGACAAGATACTCAATTATTAATGGATACATCCATTCATCAGAGCTTATGGAGGAAAAACTCAAATAGGTGAGAAAATAAAGACCATCCTATATACAAGCACAAAGGTATACATGAATATTTTGGATTGCTTCTTGGGCAAGGTAAAGACAGAAAAAGAAAAAAACCATAGGCTGTTCTAAACAGGACCCAAAAATATATGAAAAATAATGATGGAAGGATTTTAAAGACTCAGAAGACATTTCAAGTATTCAGCAGCTTCAACGGGTCTTGACTGACGCTTAGTTCAGTTAAGGTTTGCCCACTTCCCCTTACCCTGGCAAAGGAGCAATGCCAAATCAGTCTGTGTTTCACACTGGTCTATTTTATGAGTCTTCCCAGAAAACCTTCTTTTTGTATTATCGCTTCTCACCAGGTTTTTATATTTACTCCATTGTTAATAAGGCTTCCTTCTTGCCTGGGTGGCTCAGTCGGCTAAGTATCCGACTTCAGCTCAGATCATGATCTCACAGCTCTTGAGTTCGAGCCCTGCGTCAGGCTCTGAGCTATTAGCTGGAGCCTGCTTCAGATTCTATGTCTCCCTCTCTCTCTGCCCCTCCCCTACTTATGCTCTCTCTCTCTGTCTCTCTCAAAAATAAAACATTAAAAAAAATCATAAGGCTTCCTTCTTTTAATATCTTTTAACCTGATACAGTTCAAACGATAACTCCTATGTTAAAGACTAATGACTTCTGGGGCACCAGGGTAGCTCAGTCAGTTAAGGATCCTACTCTTGATTTCAGCTCAGGTCATGATCTCACAGTTCATTGGCTCAAGACGGCATCAGGCTCCACGCTGACAGTGTGGAGCCTCCTTGGGATGGTCTCTCCCCCACTCTCTCTCTCTACCCCTCCCACACGTGTGCACGTGATAAATAAATGAACTTACAAAAATTAATGACTTTTCAATAAATTAAACACAGAACAGCAGCCCAAATGCTGATCTACAAAACTGAATCCAAATGATGGTAAACACTAGAAGTTCCAGTTTCTTTACCATAAATGAAATTAACCCTCATGACCCAAAAATCTTTTTTTCCAAGAATTCTTATTCTACAGGTGAAAAGACCAGAACCCTGAAAATAACAAGCTGTCACAAACACTGCATCTCAAATGCTAGTATAGATTGCACTTACTCCTAGGGGTCTCAAAATGGGGCCTTTGCGCTGAATAAGCCCACAAATGTGTTTACTTTTGTGGCATGTGCACAAACATTTTTCCATTTGGTT